CCAGGACCTGCAGGGACCGGGCATCAGCTGCTTTTCATGGGCAGGGGAGGGGCCACATTTGCATTTTCTCTCCCCTGTGGACGTATCTGAGCTGCCAGCCGGGCTGCAACCTCTGCTGTCCCTGGATCCAAAGGAAGGCAGGTGGGGAACATTCCTAGAGAGAGATGATCGGGGTAACTTTGTCACCCCTTCTTCTTCAGAAATGCATACCCTCTGTGGGCACCTTTATGGTGTGTATCTTTATCACCAGTTACATCCAGGAAGGAACAAAGGGAAACCTACACGAGGCACATGGACCTCCAGTTGTGGTCTCTGAATCACGCAGGACTCTAAACCACTGTCGTCTCCAAGAAGCCAAACCATTTGGTGAGAGTGAAAGGAAACAGGTGTCTGTTCATACTCAGGGCTGCAATACATGACGTCAAGTGTCCTGTGCTCAGATTGTCACCTTGTCCCTTAACAGCCCAATATCAGGTCATCCCAGGTCCCTCTCCCTACCACTCCCTATGGATTGTGGGAAAATGTGAAGATGTTCCTTATGTTTTGGGAATTATTCTGACTGATAGTTGATGTCAATGTTGGATTTTCCTTGAATACTGCTGTCCCTGTCCCCTTCCCTGCAGGGACAAGTGATCTCAAGGATAGACAGACCACTTCATACAGGTCCCCTGACATGTTAATAACTATTGGAGGAATGATATCTAACACTTTTCCCTTTTTTCATGCTTGTGTTATGAGCCCAGTATAACTTTGATTACAATGACTGAAAGTTTATCATACTAAAAAACTCAATGCCATTGAGTTGATTCTGACTCATAGCAATCCCCAGTGAGTTTCTAATGCTGCAAATCTTTACAGAAACAGACAACCTCATCTTTCTCCCACAGACCATCTGGTGGGTTCAAACCACTGACATTTTGATTAACAGCTAAATACCTTAACCACTGTACCACTAAAGATCATTGCAAGTTAATAATAATAATATTGCTAATAAATTATAGACCTAAATATCTAATGGGATTAGATGCAGAAATCCTGAATAAATGTGAGTAAATCAAATAAAGTTATACAAAAAATGATAATATATTACAACAAAGTGCTGTTTGTTGAAATTATATTAATGTGATATAAGCTTCAAAATTCAATACATCCAACTCATTTAAATAAAATGACATGTTCATAATCATCAAAGAAGAGAGTTTAAATAATATAGTAAAGACTGTGTACAAATAAGGGACCTCAGGGTTAAAGATAAATGATTAAGGAA